GTAATTGACATCATGATCATCGATCCACGCAATTGAGATCGATGACATGCATCAACAAAGTCAGCGAGCCTGACCACCCGATGCCGTTAGTCGCCTTTTACGACAAGCATAGTCGCCTTTTACAGCAAGCTTGGGTTGCTGAAGACCTATTCTATCCCTGATCTTCACGGGCCGTGTACATACGTAACATTATGGAGACGTGTGATTGAAAATAGAGTTAATTTACAAGTACTTGCGGGAAACTGAAACCTACGGTCTCTCGTCTGTAAATTTTAATAGCAAATGCTATTTTCTGGGTGCTTATCGTATGTTTTACCATCCTGGATAAACTACTGAAACGTGCAGGGTTGATGTGTATTTGAGAACATAATGGATCCAATCAACAAACACATGCTTATGTTACCGTTGAAAAATACCACGGACAATAAGGGAACATAATTTTGATTCTACCCGTAAGATATAAAATTCTACTGTAGGGTCGTTTAATACGCAGGTCGGTTTTTTGCGTGTAGGCATACAGTAAGTGGTTCATGATTTAGTTAGCATTACGGAAATATATTTTCCTATGGGAAACACGTTTATGGGCTATACATATATCTGGATGTTTGATTGAGTACAGCTTACATAATGTTACAATTCCTAAGGTCACTGCTGTTGGCAGATTTAACCGATTTTAACTTGCCCAAAAGTATCACAAACCATATGAAGACTCGTGATTTGTTAGACATCTTTGAATGCAGGACCAATGAATACATACTGATTAGACATGTAGCCGTTTTATTTAATTAACATTTCCCTTTGTGTTAACAGGTATTAAGAAGAAGGCGGTGGACACAGTGTAACTCTGTAAGACAAAGTACCTGCTAATTTTTTTAACATATACAATCCGCATATCAACAAAGGATATCCCTTATGGAATATAAGTATCTAATTTACTGTTTAGGGGGACCCTCTCGATGTTCAATCAGCACCGTTGCATATAATTGTACATAAGTTATTTTCCACTTACCCGCAAGGACCACCAACCCTAGGAAGATACTGCATAGGTTCATCTCTGAAAGTGTTAGGTATACCTTCGTACAGAGAGGGTTATAAAGCATACAGGTGTGAAAGCCATTAGCATGGGTGTACCAGGATATAGATACAATCACTGCAACATGTGCTCGTGTCTGTCAGTGAATATAACACATGTAATTACGTATTGAAGTGTGGCGAGAACTTACTGCAACGTGAATTGAAACAGTCAAAACAAATTCATGAAACATTGTGCAATTCTTGTAATTCAATAATTGTTCATTAAATATGGAGGCATGCAGAAGTAGTACAAGATCCCGTCTGTAGCCATAATCCTATTGCCGTCACACACAAAAGATTACGTATTTACTTTTTTTATTATGTTCATGTCACCAGACGTGAACGTAGGTTCATTACATATATACATATACATACATAAATTATATATATCTAGGGGACACGGGTGGCCCAGTCGTCTAAGGAGCCGAAAGAAAGCTATGATTGGGGGTTCGAATCCCGGTTCGCCCCGATTTTGTTTCGATGTTTGTCAGCACCATAGCCGTGCTCGAGGGTTTCACCGAAGTGGTAAACGTCTGAGACCTGCATCACTTCGGGCTTTCCTCCAACATTAATCAAACACGCCGTGATATAACTGGAATGGAGTGGACAACGATTTGATTGGCTGTTTGTGCTCGATATCTTAGGGCCTGGTTTCTGATTAATCGACCCTGGAAATTTGTTGTTGACCTCCGGTGCCCTGTGCAGGGCTGATCATTAACACTTTGAATCTGCATGCTGAGCCTGGGAATGCTATCATTTTGTCATCTTGTACATGTCCAGTGCGGACGCATACAAAGTTCAAACATCGATTTGTCTGCCTACTTCCGACACTGTTTCCTGACTGGTGTCATTCGACTGTGGCAAATTCTGGACAATCGTGAGTGCTCTGTCTAAAGTAATTGGGACTTTTAAAAATTGCTGTCACATATTTTGACCCATTGAATTAACTTTTTTGTAACCCAATCCTGTGTATTTCAATATGTGTTATATTAATATAATATATTATGTTAATTACTCAATGAGGTGAGGTGAAATAGGGTTTAACGTCGCGTTATAAACTTATGTAGCGACGTTCATGGCTGCTTGTACAAGTCCGGACTGATGCCAATTTATAGTGCCAGCTCACTGAGATACCATGCCGCAGTTTAACATGAATACCACACACATACACAGTATACTGCCTCCGAGCCGACCAGTCCTTGTTTTAGCCCCTTTATGCCGAGCGCCAGACAGGGTAACAACAAATACCATCTTTAAACGTCTTTTTGGTATGACGCGGCCGGGGATCCAACCGGATCTTCCGCTCTTTTGTTATTTACTTAATTACAATTTACATGTATTCCTGGACTTGCCACTGTTCGGGTTAACCTTGGCTTTTCAACTTGGAAACAGGAAACAATACGTTAATGGTTAAATTTTACAGGAGCTAAACTGCAATACAAAACAATGCAGGTCGATGTCAATATATGTTTCAAAAGTTGAGAGAAGAAAGTTTAATAGATGAAATGGTAACATTCGAAATCACCGAAATTGTGTTAGATAAAGCTGTTTCATCATTTCTTCTCACAAGTCCACACAGACAGCCCCCTTTGTTTGGTGCTTCTAATTCCGGACATCACTCGCAATAACACATAATACCCCAATGGGATCAGATCCCTGGTAGAATAGGTCTTCAGCAACCCATGCCCGCCGTAAAAGGCGATTATGCTTGTAGTAAGAGGCGACTAACGGGATCGGGTGGTCAGGCTCGCTGACTTGGTTCATGCATGTCATCGGTCCCAATTGCGTGGATCGATGCTCATGATATTAATCACTGGATTATCTGGTCAAGACCCGATTATTTACAGACCGCCGTCATATAGCTGGAATATTGCTAAGTACGGCGTTAAATAACAAACAAATCCACCAACTGTACATTTATTATCGGTGGAAGCCCATCACAGTGATAGTGTTCCTCTTTGTTTCAAAGCTGGGACAGTCCGATATGACGGATGTTATGTCTAAATGCAAGGACGGGGGCCCGCACACCTGCCACACAGTGTGACAAAGAGGTTACAGACACGCATGCAGGCACACCGCACAATGTTGAAGGGGCGGATATTTATTTACATTCTGTCATCATGTTACAACACATCCTGCTAACCCGTGAAGATCCGGTCTTCAGCAACCCATTCTTGCCGTAAAAGGCGACTATGCTTGACGTAGGAGGCGACCAACGGGATCGGGTGGTCAAGCACGATGACCTTGTTGATGCTTCTCATCGATCCCAATTGCGTGGATCGATGCTCATGATGTCAATCACTGGATTATCTGGTCCAGACCCGATTATTTACAGACCGCCGTCATATAGCTGGAATTTTGCTGAGTGCGGCGTTAAACAACAAACCAACCAACCAACCGTACATTTATTATCGGTAGTAGCCCATCACAGTGATAGTGTTCCTCTTTGTTTCAAAGCTGATATGACGGATGTTATGTCTAAATGCAAGGACGTGGGACCGTGCATCTGCCACACAGTGTGACAAAGAGATAACATACACGCATGCTTATGATGTCAATTACTGGTTTGTCTGGTCCAGACTCGATTATTCACAGACAGCCGTCATATTATAGCTGGAATAATGCTGAGTGCGGCGTTAAACAACAATCAACCAACCAACCATCCTCTGGCATACATACATTCTTGTTGTCAACAAGATGCTACAAGCCCACGCTTTCTTGCCTATTAGAAATGCACAGTGGCACAACTTGAACCTACACTAGAAGCAACGACGTGTGGTGCGCAGATAACTATCAGATACACCAACGGAACACTCACTGAGACACAGTTTTTCACAAACAATGTACTTTATTTATATTTGCAAGCGAAAACCAAATGATTTAGATACATTTAGTTTTTTGTATGTTAATATGTCAGTTTGTTTCCCCAACCATTCTCAAAGCTACATACCTCTGGATATACGTATTTATAGACGCTTCAATACTCATTCGTAATCCCTTTTGAATACATCACCAGACCTGTGAAGATTCCGGGGTAGAATAGGTCTTCAGCAACCCACGCTTGCTGTAAAAGGTGACTATGCTTGTCGCAAGACGTGACTAACGGGATCGGGTTGTCAAGCACGATGACTTGGTTGATGCATGTCATCGATCCCAATTGCGCCGATCGATGCTCATGATGTCAATTACTGGGTTGTCTGGTCCAGACTCGATTTATTAACAGACAGCCGTCATATTATAGCTGGAATAATGTTGAGTGCGGCGTTAAACAACAATCAACCAACCAAAAATCCACTGGCATACATTCATTCTTGTTGTCAACAAGATGCTACAAGTCCACGTTTTCTTGCCTTTTAGAAATGCACAGTGACACAACTTGAACCTACACTAGAAGAAACGACGTGTGGTGCGCGGATAACCATCAGATACACCAACGGAACACTCACTGAGACACAGTTTTTCACAAACAAGGTACTTTCTTTATGTTTGTTTTATACACCTTTACTATCAGACATAAACACAGAAAAGATTAGAACTACCATATTATTAAAACAGAAAAGCTACGTAAAGATATGTTTCTATTGTAAGAGATACAGGTTTTTGGAAAGGAGGGTTAGCATAGACAGTGAGTGAGTGAGTTTTGGTTTTACGCCGCTTTTAGCAATATTGCAGCAATATCACCAGAAATGGGCTTTACACACTGTACCCATGCCGGGAATCAAATCCGGTTCTTCGGCGTGAATAGCGAAAGCTTTAACCGCTGGGCTACCCGACCGCCCCTAAAAACCGAACTTGCTAGATGAATGCAAAGAAATCGCGAAAATGCGTTTCCCAATCGTGTTATTTAATTATTTCTGTTGCAAGCGAAAACCAAATGATTAAGATACATTTAGTATTTTTACATTATATGTCAGTTTACTTCCCACACCATTCTCAAAGCACAGTGGCTCAACTTGAACCTACAATAGAAGCAACGACGTGTGGTGCGCGGATAACCATCAGATACACCAACGGAACACTCACTGAGACACAGGTTTTTCACAAACAAGGTACTTTATTTATATTTGCAAGCGAAAACCAAATGATTTAGATACATTTAGTATGTTGTACGTTAATATGTCAGTTTGCTTTCCCAACCATTCTCAAAGCTACATACCTCTGGATATAAGTATTTATAGACGCTTCAATACTCATTCGTAATCCCTTTTGAACACATCACCAGACCCGTGAAGATTCAGGGGTAGAATAGGTCTTCAGCAACCCATGCTATAGGTGACTATGCTTGTCGCAACACGTGACTAACGTGATCAGGTGGTCAGGCTCGCTGACTTGGTTGATGCATGTCATCGATCCCAATTGCGTGGATCGATGATCATGATATTTTTCACTGGGTTGTCTGGTTCACACTCGATTATTTACAAACCGCCGTCATATAGCTGGAATATTGCTGAGTGCGGCGTTAAACAACAAACCAACAACAACAAATACATCACCTGTTTTTCTATCCAATATGCTCAAGGATATCTTGTTTCCAATTATATAACCAGTCATTTCATCGATCATTTAATAAGACAGATAGATATATTAAATTAATCAAATTATCTTTTTTTAATATTAGATTGATTATGCTGAGACCACTTTGACTGAGGTTGCTGAGGAAGCTGATGCTGATACGGCTGCCGCCATCCAAACTCTTGTTCCTGAGTGCCAGGGTCGGACCATCTATGCCTTGGAGGAGGCAACTGAAGACCCCAGCACAGGTACGTGGATTACACACTTATACTTACGTGCATCTCTATGGACATTCATGAATATACTGATTGTACCTGTGTAAATGTGTATTGGAGAAACCTGAAACCTGATTTTTAACAATGATGAATCGCCGATTCTACATTAACAATATTTCTTTTAACATCTTAACTGGCGATTTTATGAACGTTTTAAATTATTAAAATATCATGTTTTAAGTTGATATACTCATTTTTGATGAGCAAAACAGGAATTACAAATGGGTCTATAGTATGTTGTTTAGTACTACGGTGAACGTTTTATCATCGTGTAAACAATATAAGATAGACTCATTTATGAATTACTGTTTTGATCATCAAATTAATACCCGTGAAGATCCTGGTTAGATTCAATTTTCAACAATTCAGGCTGGAGAGCCTGAACAGGCAACTGACGAGATCGTGTAATCAGGCTCGCTGACTTGGTTGATGCATGCCATCGCATTCCAATTGCATGGATCGATGCTCATGATATCAATCACTGGATCGTCAGGTCCAGATTATTGGCAGACCGCCGTCATTTAGCTGGAATATTGCTGAGCGCGAAGTTGAGAAATAGACAAACAAACAAATAACACAAATCAGTTGGCACACTCCCATGCCGTTAGGGTATGACACCATGCTATCATACAAGACGAACAACTCGATCCAATTTACTCGCCTCTTACGACAAACAATGCTGGGTAACGGGTACAAATTTTATTCATCGGGTCCCCGTAAAAAGACTCAATGCTTGTTGTAAGAGGCGACTAACGAGATCGGGTGGTCAGGCTCGCTGACGAAGTTGATGCATGCCATCGCATCCCCATTGCATAGATCGACGCTCATATCAGTCACTGGATTGTTTGGTCCAGACTCGATTTTTTACAGACAGCCATCAAAGAGCTGAACTGCTCCTGAGTGTGGCGCTAAACAACAAACAAACAAACAAACAAACAAAGACATGGTTAATATATGTCCGAATACCTCCGATTTAAGTTTTATGCATTTATGACTTTTCTTTGCAGGAAGAAAGAAGAGTGCGGTTGGAAAACCTATGTTAGACTGCGATATGTCGAGGGACTAGGGTGGAACACCTACTGTGCACTTGAGTTAAACTGCGTCATCTGAATGTGATGACAAAAAGCAACATCACACATCGACCCTCTTGTAGTTATCAAATTCATGATAGATATTGTATGATTCTTTAGGCTGATCTACATTTAAGAGCCCTATGGTACAAATTAGTCCAGATTACACCATTTGACACTTTTCAGTAATTATTTTGAGAAACATTGCATTTGTGTAGCAGTTTGTTTTTCCGTGAAACAAAACATCTATTCATATTTACTGGTATTTTAGATATAAGTTCAGTTTTTTAACCTACACACTATTTGTTGTGTCCATATTAATTGGAATGGACGTTGATATCGACTTTTTGTATCGAGTTTTGAAAACCTGTTTGTAATTGAATAAAATATTGTTCATGGACATGAGTATTTCTGTCGTTCTTTAGAACCTCGTAGATTCCGGGGTAGAATAGGTCTTCAGGAACCCATGCTTGCCGTAAAAGCCGACTATCCTTGTTGTAAAATGCGACTAAAGGGATGGTGGTCAGGTTTGCTGACATAAAACATTTTACTTAAGTTGTTTCTGAGAAAACTTGTCCCTTTTGCAGACACCATGCACTAAGTAAAATAACACTGGTCGTAAATAAGTATGCACAAAATGTAGAAAAATATGTATCAAGGGAAGTAACTCTCAGACAATTTGCACAATTTTCAATCTTAGATCCAGTTTCAGTTCCCTAAATCCTATCCTGCGCCACTGATCGCACCTTTGCCTCGACAACACTTTGTTAGTGGGTCTTGTCATGGGGGAAGACATCACTGTGAATATTGTCCTTGAACAGAAACACTCACCACCTCGCAACTACCGGCGTCTGGCAATAACTGAGAGTAGCCAGAAAACGCTTGACAGAAGTGGCTGTTTCCCGCCGAAATGATGACTCGTTTGACTGCTCACGTGTAAAACTGTCAAACACAACAAACCTTTATAGTCCTTTTTCAAACCTTCTTGGAAGTAGTTTCTCCGTTATAACATCACCATCATCAAAATGATAGTCTCAGGTACCGAAGATCAGTGTCTAACAGAGAAAAAAAGACACCTATTGAAACACCTATTTTGTCTATGATAATTACGACTTTCAAAGGCCCACCTATTTTGGTCATTATAACTCACAACAGATCTTCAAGACGAAAAGTGTTCTGAGGCGGCCCCTGAACCTGGAAGTGAAGCCAGCGTTATCGGAGCGCCCGACGTCAAAGCCTCAAGTAATTCCTTGTGGAATTCCAACAAATGACACCAACATTTTTCATTTCCTGTTGATATATTTGTTTGTTTGTTTGTTTGTTTGTTTGTTTGTTTGTTTAACGCCGCACTCAGCAATATTCCAGCTATATGACGGAAGTCTGTAAACAATCGTGTCTGAACCAGACAATCCAGTAATTGACAACATGACCATCGATCCGCGTAAAGGGAATACAATGACATGTATGAACCAAGTTCGCCAGCCTGACCTCCCTATCTCGTAAGTCGTTGATGTTTCGTTGCCCTGGATATGGACCAAACCGGTCTTGCCATGATGTGAGATAGCCGCCCACATCATAAGGCTACCCCCACCAAGCCTGTCCACTTTCTGTACGCAGTTTCCGGCGTAATGTTCTCCCCGACGTCTGAAGATCCGTGCTCTTCCATCCCCTCGACGGAGGGGGGAAAAATTGATTCGTCGCTGAACAAGACATCTCTCCATCGCAGTTGAGGCCATATCCTGTGTCGACAATACCAATGCAGTCGTTGTTGATGACTCAATATTGTCGACTGAATATGACGCGTCTAACAGAACTTCTTCCTCGTAGACCTGCCGGTCTTAAACGGCTTCGTACGGTCTGGTCAGAGATTCTGCGCAGTCTGGGTATTTGGGCTGTGGTTGAGATGGCTGTGGTCGTCCTTTCATGAAGGTGGCGCAGTCGGATGTAACGATCTTGGGCGGGGATGGTTACTCTTGGTCTTCCCGATCTTGGCCGATCAAATTTAATGTTGACACATACTGGTGAAACCGATCCCATTGCCTTGTGATGATGGTGGCTACAGCTGATCGGGATTCCCCTGTCTGCAAGCGGCCTATGACGTTGTTTCTTTGCATTTCTGTTAGTCTTGGCATGTTGTTGAACTGTCACTGTTCGAATGACGCAGATGCGGGGCAATCAAAAACTCTGCACTTTAAAACCGTTCATGGTGCTGCTTCACGTGCAGTACGTGCAGCTCCATGGCCCTTTTGTCAATGCACCGGGTGCGTTTTTTCCGAATCATACGTGTTTCCCGACTAATGGTTTGCGTGGTTGAGCGTCCGCCCGGAGAGCGGAAGGTCCAGGGTTGGATCCCGGGCCGCGTCATACAAAAAGACGTTAAAAGATTGTACTTGTTGTTACCCTGTCTGGCGCTCGGTATTAAGGGGCTAAAACAAGGACTGGTCGGCTCGGAGTCAGTATACTGTGTCTGAGTGGGGTATTCATGTTAAACTGCGGCATGGTATCTCAGTGTGCTAGCACTATAAATCGGCATCAGTCCGGACTAGTACAAGCAGCCACACACACACATACACGTGCATGCACGTCGCTATATAAGTGCAATAATCTTGGACGCGACGTTAAACCCAATTTCACCTCACCTCACCTCACTAATGGTTTGCAAGTCCTTGTTGTGATCATTTTGGTCCGGGAAATTTGTCACTGACACTATAACACATTTAACCTTTTCATTTTGTGCCTCTTGGTCCTCTAATTTTGCTTTGATGGCCAAAAATATCCGTATTGCGTTTCTTTTTGTAAGCTGAAAGTAAATGCAGGATATTGGGTATATATAGTATTCTATCCACATCTTCAGATCCAGTAAGCATACTAACCATGCTGTAGGTTACACGATGCTGTGGTATATTCTGCAGGTTACACGATGCAGTGGTATATTCTGTAGGTTATGCGATGCAGTGGCATAATCTGTAGGTTACGCGATGCAGTGGTATATTCTGTAGGTTACAAGATGCAGTTGTATATTCTGTAGGTTACGCGATGCAGTCGTATATTCTGTAGGTTACGCGATGCAGTGGTATAATCTGTAGGTTATGCGATGCAGTGGTATATTCTGTAGGTTACAAAATGTTTTCTTTCGTTTGAAGAACTAAAAAGAAGATTTAACGTAAACGGAACAATACTAGATTATCAACATCTTTTAAATAACATAACGTGACAATGGGGAGAAATAATTAATGATAAAGATTATATTTTATTCAACAAATGTACATGTTTCAACATTGTTTATTTAAATCTATTCTGTCGTACAAAAGGATCTCGGATTTTTTATAATAAATTCATCAGTTCAAACACATTTGATAAAAATCTTGATAAATGGGAAAATATATATCTATAAAAAAAATCCAATGGAATAAAGTATTTACCCAATTTAGAAATTAGATATGTGAAATTGTTAGAGTTTTCGGATAAATTCATATACAACGTTATTTACACACACAAAATATAACTTATATAAAATTGATGGATAATGATCTGTGTTCCTTTTGCAACTGTAATTATATGTATTTTGTAACTGTGAATCTGTTCATGGTTTTGTATGCAAGTTCAGTCATTTATGTGCACAACAGGTGAAGATCCTGGACTAGCACATTCTACACATTACATCGCAGGATAATTGGTTTGTATCCTCGCGTAACACTTTTGGGCTGGGAGTAGTGATTTTGGTGTTTTGGGGGTCTTTGAGGCATACCCGCTTGGCCCTATTGTATAATGGTGGTTCTAGAGCCTACAGCAGACCCCCTATGCGCTTTTCCCTGGGGGGTCCCATCATTTGGCTCCGTATGGTTTGTACCCGCGGAGCCGCGTTTGCTGTTCTGTCCGGGCACCTTCGCGTTGACAGTCAGACGTGTTTAGCGTTTCCCAGCCCAGGAGTGTTCTCCAGTCCTTGTACTTTTCTGTATATAAACCTGCGTCCTTACATCCAACTCAAGTCTTTGTTTTTTCTTGCAATGGTGCAGCATCTACTTCTGCTAAAGCATTATCCTAAAATAATGATGTGTGTTCCTTTTGCAACTGTACTTATAGCTAAGATCTTTTATATGTATTTTGTGACTGTGAATCTGTTCATGTTTTTTTGTATGCAAGTTCAGTCATTTAGAAAAAAGGAAGCCTTAAACTTGATATCACGAGACACACTAGTATTGTCTCTGGACTTAATACTGGTAACACTGTTGTGAACCATATTCTCCTAGCAGGTAAAAGATTTACTTATGTCCCAGGCATTAAACAGAAAAAGTTAACATTTGAGACCTTTTTGCCACGGTTGTCAAGGACATTTGTAAAACAGAAAATATATTGCTTGTAACAATAATACTCAATATTTATTTCTCAAAAATGGATGTATTTAGTAAACATACTCTGTTTGATCAAGAATCACATCATATTTGTTTTTTAGATTTAAATTCTACTCATCGTTTATTATTTTATTTTTAACAGCTACGTTTGAAACCATAGCAATCAATTTTATCTAATTTGATTTTGTTTTCATGTCTTCAAGTCACGTTCAGGGGTACCATTGATCGATTGAAGCATAACATAAAAAATTGTAATTACAATTCCGAATACATTATACACTTGTTTATACCCATATGTTCCCTGTTTTAGAATAATGACTCCTACCATGTACAATTTTGTTAATATCACATGCTGTTGTGTCATAGATTCCTTAATATGGTCTCTGTATACTATTGAAATGGAATAAAAACTGTTTGAAAAAACAACAACCATCTTTGTAACTGTTGTGAGGCGAGAGTGTTTGTTCGTTTGTTCAATTAACTTTGAACTAAAAACGTGAGTAACGACATTCTTAATCATATGGCACCCATCATTTGATACTTGACAATTTCAGGTAGAAAGTGTATAATCCCCGCATCGACGTTATCATGCATGACTTACACTCTGAGTAAAAACTGATCGTTGGTCGAAGCACGCGAGTTTTAAACTTGAGCTGAGTTTTGTGGCATATGTTACAGAAAATTGATAACATAGCATGACGTGTAATTGGCTTCACAGGTCCATAGAATAGGAGATAGCTTCAGTCACGTTCCACACTGCACATGTGTAAGGCACGCCTATAGTCAGTGTGTATATGGCACACCCATGATATCACCACACATGCTGCATATTATAAGGGGCTGTCGGGTGGCCTGGTGGTTAAAGCATTCGCTTGTCACGCTGAAG